GCTAATCTTTAATTTCATGGTCTTGTCAATCGGCCTTTTATTGCCATAAGAAATTACCAGAGGAAAACAAAGACTCATGGTTTCATGGTCACATGACCTGAGGCAAGCCTGAGAACACAGATGGTGCAAAGCTGCTCAACTCAAGGCCCCTGAGAAGCAAAGGGAGACAGAGGAGAGATGCGAGGGACAGACTATTACCCTTCCAAAGCATGCCAACATTGGCCTGTTTCTTCTAACCAGGTCCCATCCCGAAGGACCCAACCTTTCACACTGAGCTCTTGAGGGCCATTCCAGAGCCAAACCACGATAATGGTGCCTAAGCTCTGGGTGGGAGGGGGTGGGGACACCGGCAGTTGAGATAAGTGACCGAGAAAGCATCCTCAACTCGAAGGATGCAGAGGGGGAGAAGTGGTTTCTTGAAGTGACTGGAGAGGATCTCACTGTAGACATGACAATCAACCCAATTTCAAAAGCTGATCCCTGCCGGGAAAAATGAGAGGAAGCACCCAGGTGAAGAAGAACTTGGTGTTTTAAAGAGTCAAAAGGAGGTCAGTGGGATTGGAGTAGACAGGAGAGGACAAGGGACATTAAGGGCAGTTTGAAGGGTGCCAATGACCAAATGGTGCAGGACCCACTGGGTCCTTGCATAGGACTGGGTCACCCTGTTAAGCTAAGAACTGTAAGCAATCTGCAGGCAGCATTGGGATTGGTGAGAACCCGATGGTGGGTTTTCATCTGGAGGACGGGACAACCGGATTTTGACTTGTGCAAACTGACTCTACCCGATGGTGACACAGAGACCAGAGTCTTTATCCAAGCTCTGCGGCTCTGATGGACTGAGCTTAGGAAGACATGGAGTTACAGGAGCGGAGATGTCATATTTTTCCTGATGAATTTGGTGTGAGGAAAAGAGCTCAGAGGAAAAAGTCAAAGATAATCCTGAGGTTTCTGGTTTAAATAAATTGCTGGATAGGGTGCTACTTATGGATTCAAGAAAGTCTCTGGGAGAAAAGATTTGTGCAGAATATTCGTTTCCTTTTGCTGCCTTAATGAATTCACTGCAATCCAGTGAATTACAACAATACAAATTTATTATGCTGTAATTCTGGAGGCCATAAGTCTACAAGAGACCTTACAAGGCTAAAGTCGAGATGCAGGAAGGTCTTCGTTCTACTGGAGATGTTAGCAGTCTGTGTCTCCGGCCTTTCTGCCCTGTAGAGCTAGCCTCATTGCTACGGCCCATCTCCTAACCTTCACTGACTGACCAAGCATCACACCACATCACTCTGACTCTTTCTCCCTCCCTTCTGATGCTTGTAAGGATGGTGTGGGTATACTAGGCCCATTTAGTTACTTACCGGTGTTAATTCCTTCTGTGGACACCTCTGTTTGCGATCTACTATAACATGTTCACAGACAACAGAGATGTCTTATGAGATGGACACGGATGTCTTGTGAGTCGGAGTTGGAGAGTCTTGTTCTCTCTAGCATGTGTGGAAAAAAAATCAACATGTGTGTGTTTGAGGCGTGTTAAATTTGAGTTGCCAGTGAGTCAACCCATCAGGAACTCATCATAGTGGTCAATGCGAACAATAGTGGGACATGCAAGGACAGATTCGTGCTTAACAGGCGAGCCGTGGAAAGCGATGGCGTGCCGTGGCGTGGTCGGAAAAGAGAACGGTCGTAGAAAACTGCTGCACTTAGAGTAGGGGAGGAAAGCAGCAGAAGAGCCAGAGACACAGGGTGAGAACTCAATGTCCGGCCAGGGGAGCCCGGGGAGGAGCCTTAAAGAAAAAAGGAAGTGTGAGCCTCTGGGTTTAGTTCTGCCGCACAGGAGCATCTGAGCGTCTGTGGGCGAATCTGTCAATAAAAGATTGGAAGTTCGAGCCAAGGTGTCAGTGCAGTGGCGAAGGTAGCTTTGAGACTGATGGAGGTGGGTGGTGATCGTGATCACAGATGTTGAAGTTCTTCTCCATGACATTAGCAGTATCTGCAGACGCTCTTAAAGCAGAGAGGCAGGGCTGCTGAGAGGGCTCAGGGCATCGAGGCCCTTGCTGCCAAATCCAATAGCCTGAGTTCAATCCCTGTGGTGGTTTGAATGTCACTGGCCCCATAATCTCATAGGGAGTGGCACTATTAGGAGGTGTGGCTTTGTTGGAGTGGGTATGGTTTTCTTGAGGAAGTGTCTCTGTGGGGGACGTGCTTTGAGGTTTCCTATGCTCGGGATACTGCTCAGTGTCTCAGCTGGCTTCCTGTGGCCTGTGTATCACATTGCAGCCACCTCCACATCTGCCTGCACGCCGCCACGCTCCCTGTCATAACGCTAACAGACTGGACCCCCGAAAGTGTAAGCGAGCCACCCCAATTAAAAGTTCTCTTTATAAGATTTACTGTGGTCATGGTGTCTCTTCACAGCAATAAAAACCTAACCAATACCCAAAGTTTATATTATGGAAAGGGAGAACTGACTCCGACAAGTAGTTCCCTTATCTGGACACACGTAACACACATACACACACATAACACACACACATTCACGTGTGAATTTAAAGTTTAAAAGAGATTTAAATGAGTTTGTCATTTTTGGTCACGGCCTTTGTAAGAAGAAGCTGGGAGTAGCAAGACCACCTCTAGTCAGAGTGCCACGCAGAAAAGGGCAGAGAAGCCACTGAACGCTCATTGCTCCACCCTGTGTATGGAGCAAACACAGAAAATCAGTGGAGAGAGAGACCGCCTTGCCCTGCCTAGATGCACCCGAGGGCTGCATGGAAAGCGGCAAGGACACAGAGAAGATGGACAGGGTCTCAGGACTCTGTGCAGGGGTGATTCCCAGATTCACCGAGTATCCCACATTCTTCCCTAACACACACAAGGCCCTGGGTCCAACCCTTAGCACTTGCCATGGTTACTTTTCCAGTGCCGTGAAGAGACATCACGACCAAGGCAGCTTACAGAAGAGTTTAGAGGGGTTTACGCTTGTGGAGGGTTAGAGTCCGTGACCATCGCGGGGGTAGCATGGCAGCTGGCAGGCAGGCTTGGTGCTAATGCAGTAGCTGAGAGCTCATACGTCACACACAGGCACCAGGCAGAAGGAAAGCTCACTGGGAAGGGTTTGGGCTTTTGAAACTTCAAAGCCCACCCAAGTGACACATCTCCTAATCCTTCCAAACCAGTTCACCAGCTGGAGACCAATAAACGTAGGAGCCTATGTTCAAACCAACACAGCACTGAAAAAAAAAATCCTCCTTAATGCAGTCTTGAAGCCCTTTAGAACTAAATAACAAGAAGGGCCTGCAATAACTCTGAAATAGCCCTGGGGAAACTCGGGCTCTCTCTATCTGAGTAACTTGCTCCTCGTCCACTGCTTTTCTGGGGATTGCTAGAGGGACTTGCTACCATCTCCCCGATTTACCATAAAGGCTGGATGCCGCAGAACGAAGTGTGAGAATTCCCTCCTGTTCATCTCCGTGGCACTGGACCCTTTAGGAGAAGGTGGTTGAAAGATTCTTGGAGTCAAAATTGGTAACTCTCAGAGTTCCAGCTCTTGGAGGCCGAGGCAGGAGGATCTTCACAAGTTAGAGGTCAGCCAGGCTAGGTCATGAATTCCAGGAGAGTCTAGAGTGTAATGTGAGATTCTGTGCCAGGAAATCAAAACAAACCAAAAGCACTCTGAGCCCGATTCCTCTGCCACCCTCCGGTTCTGAGTCATGGAACAGGAGATAAGATTTAAAGGCACAAACCAAAAGCTTCTTGATGCTATTATTTGTCAGAATAAATAAAATAAGGAAAATTTAATAGTCCTGAAAATATATCCCAAAGTATTTATTTCCTTAAGTCTCTGTCTTGCCCTATGTACAAAATTAGTTTTGATTTATCATAGACATAAAAACAAGCAAGAAACTTCTGGAAGACAGGAAAACGGGACAAGTTGTATGTGTGTGCACATGCGTGTAAACATACATGTCAGTAACTTTAGTGGTGAGCAAACACTTCTTAGAAAAGATGCATGAATCAATAATCATAAAAATGGACAAGGATGATAAATCAAAATTGAAAACTTCAATTCATTAAAAGAATAACCAGGCACAATGCACACGCCTGTAAGTCTTAGCTGCTGAGAATCTGAGGCAAGAAGAATATTCAGGGCAGTGCAGATAGCCCTCCTCTTAAAAACAAGTAAACAAAAGCATACTGTTACACTATAGACTGAGAAGCAATGTTTATGAATATGTATGCATATATATCATAGACCTTGGTTCTAAAATATACAACAAACCCTATACCTCAATTAAATATAAAAAAGAAACTAATTTTAAGTGAGCGGAGAACCTTAGTCTATAATAGTTATTTGCTTCACTGGTTCAAATAGCTGCAATTTAGTATCATTGATAGGTTTTTTTCTCTTTAAAAATAAAAGAAATGGAGAATGGATTTTAAGGAAAGCCACAAGCTAAAAGCCTGGCTGATCACCATCTAGTGGCGGAGATTAGAATTGCAGTTTTTGGTTTCAGTTTTAGGTTAACAGCCTATTTTAAAGACTTAATATACAAAAAAGAGTTGCAAACACCTTAAGACAATCTACAATAACAATAAATTTAGTTTAAATTAATAAAACAGAACCAAAAGAATAGAATTTTATTGAAAAACCATTGAATCAATGAAAAGTATAATATATGATATTCAGCCAAATATGTATGTTGTAGACTTAACGACTGTTAATAGTATCAACATAAGTTAATTGTGTGCTGGGTAGACATGTACTATTGCACTCAGTTTTCCTAAGAACTCAGGGGACTACAAACCCATCCCAGGTAACACTGTTGCAATAAACATTCGCCGGTAGAAACTCATTTTGTTGCTAATACGCAAACCTTACAGACGATATTTGTCTCACAATCCAACGCTTTTGGGAGGCCCTCCTGAAAGTGAAAGGCGATTGGAAAAGCTAGGGGGAAAGGAGTCATGGTTACTTACTGATGCCCTGTCCTCTTCCGCACCAGGTGCTGTCGTACCACGCCACGTGCTCCAAGGCTGAAGTCGACAAGTTTAAGGTGAGGATGGGAACCGTCGCGCTGTTACACTTAAACTCTGTCTGAATGTGGAGCCGGGTCCAGGGCAGAGAGGCTTGGAGTCCTTCTCTGTGGAGAGGTGGAAGGATTAAACAGCGGAGTCCCTGTGTGGTTTACAGGAGTCTATCCCTTCCCTAAGCTCGCACATATGGGGAGCGGGGCTGATAACTGGGTGAGGATCGGGGCACCTGACTTAGGCAATGGTCTTACTATGCACTTCAAAATTTTAGGGCTTTGTTGTCTTGTCTATCTATGAAACTAATGAAGAAGCGGGCAGCGGTGGCGCAGGCCTCTAATACTAGTACTCAGGAAGCAGACTTCCGTAGTTCAAGGCCAGCCTGATCCACAGCGTGAGTTACAGGGCAGCCAGGACTGCACAGAGAAACCCTGTCTCAGGGGGAAAGAAAAGGAAAAGAAAAGAGAGCCGAAAACAAAGAGATTGAGGTCATAACTAACATTTTCCCCGCTCTTACTGTACACTACAGGCTCTTTTCCTGCGCTCATCCGTCTCAACCTCACAGCCCTGCGAAGGAAGGGCCGTGTACACTGTTTTCCAGATGAGTAAACTGAGGAGGAGGGGGATCCATCTCAGAACTGCAGTTCTTAACCACATGCCCCCCCCACCCCAGGTGACCCCAGTCTGACTCCCATGAGTTTATGAATGAGCCTCAGGTGTCCATTTTTATCTTGGCCACCACGGCTTCCTTGGTGCAGTTCAGAATTCCAGCTTGCCTCCTGCATTCCTACAAACCCTTTTTTAACAACAGCCACAAAATAGGAGGGCTGGGGCATAGCTCAGTGGTATAGTGCTTGCTTAGTATGTTCAACGTCCTAGGTTCAATCCCCAGGACTTTAGGAAGAGCAAAACCACAGGAGTGTTGATTTCTTTTTCTTCCTTAAAAAAACTGGTGTTTGTATTTCTAAATTCTGTTAAAGGTTTTGAGAATGACTAGAAAAGGCTAATGCAACCATAAGAAACACCATATTTGTAATATTAGTCTATGACATTGCTTGCTGCGCTTCTCGGAGCCCCGTTTACACAAAGATCCATTTTATCTTCATAGGGAAAGAACGACACAGAGATCTTTGATCCTGATAGAGTCATATCGGAATGGAATCACACAAACCACTAAAGAGGACAAAGAAAGATCCTGAACACAGGGATAGAATTCTCCCAGGAGGGCAAGCAATGAGTTGTTACAGTAGGCAGATGCTTAAGGAAAAGCGGTGCCCGAGATCATGAGAAGAGGCTGTGCTAGCAAGAAGTAAGGACTGGCCCTGTAGGAAGGAACCTAAACTAGAGCAGTCAGTTAATAGAAGCAAGCATCTTGAAGACTCTGTTAGTTTGTTTTCTGTCTCTGTAACAAAACACCTAAAACTGTCATTTCTAAGCAATAGAGGTTTACTTAACTTATGCTGCAGAGGTTGAGAAACCCAAGGGTATTACTGACATCTGTTCAACATCTGGTGTGTGTGTGTGTGTGTGTGTGTGTGTGTGTGTGTGTGCCTGTGTGTGTGTGGTATGATGTGTGTGTGTGTGATGTGGTGTGGTGTGTGTGCCTATGTGTGTGTGTATGGTGTGTATGTGTGGTGTGGTGTGTGTATGTGTGGTGTGATGTGTGCGTATATGTGCAGTGTGGTGTGTGTGCCTGTGTGTATGTGCAGTGTGGTGTGTGTGTGGTGGGCTTCTTCCTTATCACAACAAGTCAGAGGTCCCCATGGGGAGAGAGAGCGCAGCAGTGCAGAGAGCCGCTCCATAGCCTTGCCTCCCTTTCAGGAAGCCACAGGTCCATCCGTTCCTGAACAAAGGCAGTTCATGACTGTCCATGTCCCAAAGTGCCGCTTGTCAACACCGCTGCATTGATGACAAGTTTCCCACGTGTGGGATTTGGGGGTACATTGAAACCCTGGCATACTGACCAGGATGTGAACTCCACAGCGGGCATTTTTATGTATTCATGGTTCTCTCTCTGCTGCCTCTCACAGTTCTTAGTCCAACATGACAGTCAGTAAGTACTTAGTGAGAATGAATGAATGAATGAATGAATGCAAAGAGCATCCGTATTCTAGATCTCAAGCAGTTAGTCATCAAGAAAATATTAAAAATAGAACATGAAATTATTTTAGATGCCTATTTAAATTTTCTTTAATATTTATAAATTATATATTTTCCATAAAGATATTTAAGACTTATTTTAATAAAATTTAGTTCACATACATCAAAACACCAGATATTACATGATAAATCTGTAAAATTTTTGGTTTTAATCTATAAATTTGAAAAGTTAGACAATAAAGTGAGGTTTCCTTGCCTAGAAAAGTTGTTTATGGCAACACCTAGTTCCTGCTAAAATAATAATATGACACGTTATTCTTTCGTTTTTTTGCTGCCATTCTGATTATTTTTGTTGCCAAAGCAGGGAAGTGACCAGAAAGAAGACAGCAAAGTACATAATAAGCTAAATGTGACTGTAAAAGCCACCCAGAGCCACCTCCCAGAACTACTGCAGGCTCCACAGTCAAGAGCGGACTGCTCTGTGAAGGCTACTAACCTTCTTCCAGGCTTCCTTCTTTGCTTTAGAGCAAGGAGAACTCCATTGTCTTAGAGCACGCTGTACTTTCCTGTTATTGGCTCCTAAACACACTAAAAATATGAAGTATTTAAATTTGAGAACAAAGGGTTATTTGATCTTAAACCTACCAAGATTATTAACGGAACTGATTTATTCCGGATTTTATCCCAAAAGATATTAGCTGGTATCCTATGATACTGTAATTGAGATTTAGTAGATAATTTTAACCAAATGGCTTTTTCCTTGACATATAAAGTAAATAAAACATTATCCTAATTGATAGCTGGTGTCTGCTGTAGCTGTAGCAGGGACATTAAAATGAGTGTGCATAGAAGAGTCCTGTGTATAGTCACGAGACAGTACTGGCAGACACTCCAGACTCAATTGTACACAACCAGCTAAATAACTGAATACACGCTTTATTTTTACCAAGATATACAGACAAGCCACATCGACATCCAAATGTGCTGTGACCTACATTATCTCTGTACCTTTGAAAATACACAGAGTTCTTTTTAAAACCACCGTAGCGATTTATTTGAGTCTGGAATCAGTGTTCTCCACAGACTTCCTGGGTGAAGGGAGGGCTAAGTGCCACTATTCACTTTGTTTGCTGGGATGAGTGTGCGGTGATTCAGAGATGGCCCAGGGTTTGGAAAGAAACTAATTATCTGGTGGTGGAAAACATACGGAGCCCAAATACACACAACACATATGTGACAGACCTCATAGAAGCCCAAGATGTTCCACATCTGGGTAATGTCCCAGACACCAGCAAGATGTGGTTGTTTACACGAGTCTAAGAGCCTGTCTGAATCGAGAGTGTGTTCTGATGGAAGTGGAGTCCACGAGCCTCCTGTCAGCATGAGCGCCGTCTCCCTCGACCAGCCGTGGGCCCATGTGCTCAGTTGAGAGCACGAGGGGATGCCGAGGCCAGACTTTAGGATGGATTCGGCACATTCATGATTCAGGTAGCGCAGGCTCCGGAGTGTCAGCTGCACACACCAGGGACCAGTGGCAGGAAACGTCTCTGCAGACTGCATGGGGGATACTTCCTTCCAGTATGACCATCAAGGGCTAGGAAGGTCAGTGCGGGTGAGGAGGTCGCTTGGTAAGGACAAAGAAGGCATCCCCTGAGGGCCCCAGTAAGAAGTGAGGTGGAGAGTGAGTTCTACACCCTTCATTATTATTAGTTTACAACCATTTGTACACACAGAGGGAGTGGCTGAGGAGGACTGATATGTGAGACAACCTGTAGCAAGTTTAATAACCGTTGATGTTAGGCTAATGCCTTATCCTTCCTAGTACCTGCTGGTTCATCTGGTGGATCCCCCCCATTTCAGAATGCCACGAAGGAGCTGTCTGAGATTTCATTTCTTCTGATTCCCCTTATTTGTCTGAGTGAGAAGACTTTGGAGAGAGATGTGGTGGCCGATGGGAAAGCGGGACCAGACTTTGTCCCAGTTTTGTTCCTGTTGCTGTGACAAAACACCCTGATGGAAGTCACTTAAGGGATAGCAAGTTTATGTCAGCTCACAGTTCCGGCAACAGTTTGTCCCTGTGGTGGAGTCACTGTGGCAGGGTCTGAAGGCAGCTGGTCACGTGCACAGACAGGAGCGGAGAGAGAATGAGTGCACACACGCTTGTGCTCAACTCACTTTCTCAACTCACATAGTTCAGGATCTCCCACCATGGCAATGGTGACACGCACAGTGACTGTCTTCCCACTTCCGTCAGCATATTCAAGATAATCCCCCCCAGCATATCCACAGGCCAGCTTGACCTAGACAGCCCTCACTGAGCCTCTCCTCTCAGCTCGTTCTAGAGTGTTGCTAGTTAACAATTAATTAGAACTGCCCATCACGGAGTTGAAAGCCCAGCCCTGCTCCACAGGTGGATTCTGCTTCTTCAGGAATGTCAGGTCTTGGGCTTCTTTTTCCTGGCTCTGATACCACTCACACCTCAGGAAATGGTTTTGTCTGTAGGGCCCCTCACACACACGAAGATCCCAAACTTCTAGGTCCTAACAAGTTAGCTGCTTTTGGAAATCTGGTCCTGATTATCACGTCGCTAAATTACTTTTAGGGGCTGATTGCCCTGTGCATTAGTGAACGCGCTGAGGGCCAAAGAAGCTTCTCCCTCATAAACACTTAGCGTCCCATGAAAGCCTGTGCAGGTTTTAGTGCCTGTTTACATCTCCTTAGCACTGCGCTAACAGGAAAGACGTGGAGAGATCATGCTGACAATTAGATCTCCTCGAAGACGGCTGCTTTAAGGGCTTCTTCTAGTAACTGAAGACGCCAGCTGCGCTACCATGAGAAAACGAGTTAGCGCACCAATTATAGGCACCTGTGGTTTTATGCACTTTCCTTGGATTCCACTGCAACGGACGGACCTAGTGGTCATCAC